AGAGAGAGAGACAGACAGACAGACAGACAGACAGACAGACAGACAGACATACAGACAGACAGAGAGACAGACAGACAGACAGATAGACAGACAGAAGGGGCGAGAAGTTGATCCAACACTTCGAGATTTTCGGGTATAGTGTTGAGAGGGAAAAAAAGGGGGGTGGGGAGGTGCTTAGATCTCCCATCGCACATAACTCACCAATCTCGTTGTTCACCGGGTAGTAATAGGCGTTTACAGTAGCGGGGGTCATGAACCACCTGAAAAGTCAACAGTAATCATCTTACTTTTAGTTTTAGTTTTTAGTAAGAGGTTTACGACACTTGCAACACAATAAGGTCATACAAGTGCTGAAGAATAGATGTGTTACAAGATAGTAACATACACAAAAAAGAAGGATGGGAGATACAGACGATAGATGTTGATAGGAAAGAAAGTCTGCGGTAAAAAACTCACAGGTCCAGAAAGAGCGTCAGATACTAATAAGTATGGAAAGTAGAAATACGCAAAAAGATGGGCTGATAGAGAGGCAACAGACAGACAGACAGAGGAAAGTGGGAGGTGAAAAAATGACGATATAGAGACACCAGACAGACACGAGAGAAGTACCACAGCCCTATAATTATAATAATAATAGGTAGCTTTTGTATAGCGCAAATCCCCGCTCAACAGCAAGCTCTATAATATGCGCTTCATAGTCAAATCTATACTATTACCCCAGAAGACCTGAGAGCATTCTGAAGCAACCTCAACTTTCTGGGAAGCATACAGTGCAAGCGGCCATTTATAGGAGCTAAAACACTAACATACTGAAAAGATCTTCCGCGGTCTATGGCCATGTACTCATTTCCCCATGGGTGAAGGGAGGACAATTTCGTGTAAAGTGTCTTTCCAAGGACGCAACGTCGGGCCCACGGCTCGATCCTCCGAACCCGCAACCTCACGAATACGAGTCCGGTAGGCTAACCACTAGGCCAACAGAGACATCAGATAGACAGAGAAAAGAGGGAGGTGGAAAAGATGACGACAGTCCCACACACCAGAGACATCAGACAGACACGAAAGAAGCACGACCACATACGCGTTAGTGTCCACTGGCTGCCTCAGTTGTCGCATCAGGGAGTCATGGCTCACTTTCCCTATCATTACGTTGTTTTCGAAGTACTGGTACCTTGTAAAAGTAAACTGGAGGAGCGAAACAAAACATGAATATTATGATTAAAGATGTACGCTATTTTTCAGTTTCTTTTAGTTTTGTTTTCGTAAGGTTTTACGGCGTTCGCTACTGCATACGGTCATATGAGCGCCAAGTTACATTTTACATATGAATTTCTGTTATACCTCTCTGCTATAAGGCTTTATCTAAAAAGGCCATAGTTTCCGAAATAGGTTTATAAACCAGCCCCCCCCCCTCAATGACAGTGACGTGATCTCGCTGAGATGACTTTTATGTTTAAAAAACACTTCCCTGCTCTTCACACTCTTAAACTCTTAATTAACAAAAATCCCCATAGTCACTTGAACTTAGTAGAGTAAGTCAAGAAAAGACTAATTACTTACCGTAAGGGACAGCAAATCCCAAACACTGAGTTTTGCAGAGATAAGGTCTAAAACTGAACATTGAGGAACATCATAATAAAGAATTGACATTTGTTACATAAGGTATTAATCACAACAGATAGGCAGCAATTGACGTCTAAATGTTCTACCATCTGAGAGCAGATGATCAATTTTAACAAACATCTTAACAATTATCATCTGAGTATGATTTACTACGATAGAGAGTCGTAACAATTACCTGATACCAACTTTTGTCAAAACCACTTAGGGAGTACAGGGGAAACTCGACGGCAGCCACACACTGGGAATTGTGAGGGTGCCAATTTTAAAAGTTTGTGGACTCATAACTTCATATTTATTTTAAAGGTGGTATATTGTTAAATGTTGTGGAATTGAAAATCTAACAACAATAATCAACTAGCAGTTGAACAGAAATACAGTTAGTTATGAGTCAACGAGAATTCAAAATTGGTACCCTCACGGTATTCAGTTTGTGACTACCGCCATTTTTCCCTTGTAGACTTCACTTACGTTTGAGTAAACCTCCTCTAGATACGTGTCGTTTCTCACAAACTCCGGGTAACCAATCTTGGACTGAATGACGTCGTTCTGAAGATACAATCCAGAAGGAAACATTTGTGAGGCAGCGTGGTGGAATCAGGCTCTCGTCATATTTGGGGCATGTAGAGTTATTGATATCATCTTCAAGCTTGTTCACATATCTTTATTGGGAGGAAAGAAATATCCATTTATCTTGAATGCAAGTCGAGATATTGGCGAATGAATGAGGTGGGGGTCACCTGTTTTCAGAGGTAAAATTAGTGAGAAAATGGCCGCCAAAGATTAGTTATTTGCTTAGCTTAAGGGTCCGTAGTAACTAAAAATTTACATTTTTTGTGCCTTTAATCAACGATTTTCAAAAAAATCCTCGCAGAAATGAGTTCTTTAACGGGCATGAAAGGTGTTGAGCCAAAAAACAAAAAAATTGATAAAAATTTACAAACCTGGGGAAAAATGCAAGTTTCTTCACTTGGATTATTTTGACGAGAGCCTGATTCCACCACGCTGCCTTACATTTATTTTATTCCATTTCTACGACACTTTTACTCCATGTCTACAACATACAAAGTAAATGGTTCACCTCTAAAGGTCACATAAGTTGTCTGATTTATAAGAGCGGGATGTGATTAAGCAAATACAACTAAAAGAGGAAAGTCATGACGTGTTGAGAAGAGGATAAAATGAGTGAAATATCCATCTAGGACGGATATTAACGTATTCGAAATGCGACGCAAACACGCTCGTTAGGAGAGACTTGTCTAGTTAAGTCTGTTATATCAAAGGGTACCCTGCTAAAAATCCCCAAAAACCTTTGCAAGTTTTTTCGAACATAACTGAGCCATAGTTCGAAACAGGCAATACATTTTTGATTTGAAAGCAAATTCTCAAAGGTTTCCAATATCCAATCCGTAGCGAACTTAATGCCCAGGGGAAAATAGCTTTGTTGGCGCTTATCTCTTACAAAACAACTACACAGTGAAATTGGAAAAGGTATGTGATCGCTTTTAAGCACAAGGGGGCTATCAAGAAAAATGCTGTTTTGAGAAATTCGAAGGTTACGTTTTGGGATCTTTATTCAGTCTTTTTAAATGAAAATGAGAGTTTTCTCTATAAACAAACAAATATACACACTACTGAAACCAAACTTCTCCTATAGGTAGAGTAAAGCCCACTTTTGGTGTAGATCAAGATCTCTGGAAACCCCCGAATTCTGGGTTAGCCCGCTTGTCCTCAAAAAGCGACCATATTATGATAATCGCTAAACTTTCCATATTCTCCTAATAACTAATTTTTTGAAGATGTACTAGTGTCAATGCATCATCAAGAAATTAGAAATTGAAATAATGGAAATGGAAACAGAAAGGGTTATTATGATATGTCTTTTCCAATTTCATTTTGCAGTAAAAGGTTAACAAAGCTGTGGTCGCTGTTTTTCGTAATCGGAATTAATAATGGCCACCTTTTCCCGAGCAAGTCTTTTCGTCTCCGGGTCCATCCAGGACAGCTCATCCACTAGTTCATCAAACGCAGTCTGGAGACCCTGTATCATATCGAGGGCCTAGGAAGTAGAGCAATTGAAAACATGGTCATTGTAGCGTCATTTCCTCTTCTTCTTCCTTGTTTTCGAGGACTGATTGTAACGTCAACGATTTAGCACGTAAGTTGTGAATTCTCTCTGATCAAATCTCACGACTCCCACTTTAATTAGACAAACCTGCCTCCTGAACTCTAGCAAGAACAATTCTCTTTGTGATATATCTTCATGGCCAAAAGTACTTAATGTCAACCACACCACACATTAGCTAATTATGACAATAATAATAACGATAATGATAATAATGTGACCATCTATGAAACTTAAAACAATGGGAGAAATGGCATTTGAATACCAAAACCCCAAGATCTGGAATGCTTTACCGAGTACTTTGAGAGAGATCAAATCTTTTGATTCATTCAAATGTCAGCTGAAGTCGTTTCTGTTTTTAAATTAATAAAATGACTATTTGGAATAATTTTCTTTAGTCAGAACACAACGTTTTATGTTACTGTTGTATGTTGTACTGTATTGTAAAGCGCTCAGAGCCTGTGTACTTTACTCGGGGTTGAGCGCTATATAAATGTCATTTATTTATTATTATTATTATTATTATTATTATTATTATTATTATTATTATTATTAATTATGATAATAATAACCATAAAAATAATAAAATAATAATAATGATGATAATGATGATGATGATGTTGATGATGATCATGATGATAATAATAATAATAATAAATAATAATAATAATAATAATAATAATAATAATAATAATAATAATAATAATAACAATAATAATAAATAATAATAATAACAATAATAATACGATGTTTACAGTCTCTAGCCCGGTAGCCATTACCACCAGGGTCGGGAGAGCATAATTCGTGTAAAGTAAAGTGTCTTTTTTTTCTTAGTTGGAATTCCACCAGACTGACACTAGACCACCGACGCCACTTTCTTGATGAAGGAGCCGATAGATATTGTGTTAAACATTTATTTCTTGAATTACTATCTTCCCAGTCATCTCTCTTCATGAGATCTTTAAACTATTGTTATTATTTTTTTGAATTCCCGACTCAAAATCTCATTGAAAATGTCCTTAAAAATGTTATATTTGTTGTAAACCCCCCAAAACAAAAACCAAAACAATAACAACCAAACCAAACAACAACCAGAGGGCGACCAACTCGTAGAATCCCTTTACCATAGATTTGGCTTCGGGTTCAAAGTACCGGTCGACAAAAACTTTGCCGATAGCGAAGCCAATTTGTCCTTTGGCAAAACGAGCGCAGACCTGGTCTCGCGGCTCCCCTTGCTGGATGCCGTACACAACCTAAGATAAATAATAATGGGACAATAATTATAATTCGGAATAAGTGTATAATTAAAAGCCTTCCAAATCAATCATAGTCTCACCGGGGATGCGAAAAAAGGTCAAAATCACTTAGTATATAGTCTTAAAAATGATATCGTCTAAGATATCTGTGAGTCACTAAGAAGACAAAAAAGTTCACAGAAGAAGAAGAAGAAGAAGAAGAAGAAGAAGAAGAAGAAGAAGAAGAAGAAGAACAACAACAACAACAACAACAACAACAACAACAGCAACGACAACAACAAGAAGAACGATAATAACTGTCTTAATATAGTAATATAGGGACACAATTGCCCAACCATTAAAAAAACAACTGAGACTCGCAAAGGGTCTGACGAGATCATACCTTGTAGTATTCAAACACAAGGGATCTGTAGGTCTGTGTCAAGGTTTCTAAGTAGCCCCCTGTTACACGCCAGAACACGTAGTTGGCTAACGTCCTGTTTGAACAAGGAAACAAAGCTGTTGGGTTTTTTCTTCAAGTAAAAGAATGTTTTAGTTTTAGTAAAAGTTTTACGGCACTTGCAACACAATATGGTCATATTAGTGCCGAACAATAGATGTGTTACAAGAGAGTAACAAACAAAAAAAAAGGAGGAGAGATAAGGAAGATAGATGTTTGATAGGAAAGAAGGAGCAAACCACACCAGAGCACCCGCCAACCTCCCACAAGTAAAACAATGACATTCATTAACGACATTCAAATTCTAGCAAGGAATATAATTAAGTATATTTCAATATTATGTCCCAATTCGGCCACATCGAGCTGCAATGTAATGGCTAAGAATCTTAAACATAAGAAATAATCACAGTGTTACCCCCCTACCAAAATAAAAAAAAAGAAAAAAAAGAAAAAAACCCCAACTACAATAACAACAGCAACAACAACAACAACAACACGTGTTACCAAAAACCGATAACTAAGACAGTGATACCAGCCGAGAAAATGGAATAGTTTTATGATAATGACAGAAGCCATGACGTTGTTACTTTTGCAAAGTTCTTTCATTAAAATGTATAATCATTAAAGATATTAAAAATATTTAGGAATAAATTAATATGCTTGGTTTTTTTTCTCGTTTTCTGTCGTTGTGTTTTGTTTTGGGTTTATATATGTGTGTGTGTGTATGTGCGTGTGTGTGTGTGTGTGTGTGTGTTTGGGAGTGGGGGGGTGGAGAAGGGGATTTAATAAGTCGTCGACACACGTGTTATTTACTTTAAATAAAAAAAGAACGCAATGGAAAAGATTTGCGCTACCTTTTCGGAGTGTTTCTGATGAGTTCCGTGAAATTTCTAAAGTAAGGAGGCGAGACATTGATGATGGTTTCATTTTCTGTGACGTCTGTGATTCCTACTTCCGGAGCATGCAGCAATGCGACCACGAACTGCATCATGTCCAATTCTGCCTGTCGTTCAGTTGTTGGTTTGTTTTTGAATACACAAACAAGCAGAAAATGAACAGAAAAAGGAAGGTAATGATACATAAATGCAGACTTCATACACAAGAAAGATCAAGAAACCTGACCACTCTCTGAATAACTATATCGAAAAATTAAACTTTCAATGAAAAATAAAAATCTAGTTTTACTACCCTCTCTTACGGACAAATTGTTAGTTTGCCTCTATAGCAATCGTTACTTTCAGATGTGTATCATATTTTAATACTGTTGTGGACTATCAGTATTAATGGACGAAACTGTATATTATTAAGTGAAAGCATAGTACCACAAGTCTGATATTCCTACAACAAACTTGCCTTATTCCATTCTTCGATTACTGCATACATTTTAATAGCTTGGTCGATGTCAATGGAGTATATATTTATTCTAAAGCAAGTTTTGGACCTTCTACTTGAAAGGCAAAATAATGTTCGTGTATTATTTTATCTATTTCTGTTTCTTTGAAAATAACTCTGTCAAATTATTTTGCACAGACTGCAAACTTCACATTTCTGTGAAGAGTCTAACGCGCTAGGGGTATACATTGTTTTTTGGAGTATGCACAGACTTTCCAACAAAGATGCCCTATGTCCTTTTTTCAGGGTGGTCATGATTGGAAATAAAATGCTAAATCAGGGGGATCAGTAGCTCAATAGATGTGGTGATCTACTGTAAACACAGGGGTCTGTTGCTCCATTCCCCTTAGCTTTTTTGCTCATGTTTTCTACACCGCTTGATACTAGGGTCGGTAGGTTGGAGCACTTAGTCTTCTCTGACAAAATAACAATCAAAAACAAAACGAGAACAACACCTAGGTTGCATGTGAAAATGTTGCATGTTAGAAATCCCTCGGTGTTTCTAAAAGCGAATGGACTGGTCTTTTCTAGCCGTCGTCCAGCCAAAATTCAAAAATTAATTTTTACCCATAACCCGAAGCCATTATTGTCTGTTTATCCTGCTTGTCAGCAAAATGATAATTCTTTGTTCTATACATATTATTATATAAAACGGTCATGTGCGTAATAATTATACGCTGCGCTATGAAGTAAAGATTTCACAGCCGATTATTTACTGAGCTCTAGTAAAAGAAGATTGATAAAATTGCCCAAGCAGTAACCACTGTGAGGCATAGCATTATGTACAACCACAGGGGTAGCAATGTACTAACCGAACTGTAGTTTGCATGGACTTCTCCCAACGTCATTGGGTTGTACAGGGCTTCTGGGTCCCATCTCTCCTCGGATGGGACAGAAATCTGTGGGGAGGGATTGACTTAAGAAATAGTCATTCTGTTTGACGTTCACAAATTGTATAGTAAATTATGCTTTCATAAACACCGTTGCAAAGATACCATACTTCACAATTAGTCTCAGACAATCTAGTAACAAGTAGGTAAACACAAATTGTACTCTTCAACTCATAGTTTGATGTTCATAAATCAAATCAAGAAGTTTACCCCCCCCCCCTGTCTCTGCTTCTAAATCCAAATACACCAGTGTGACCCCATTCATACTATTTGTGAAAACAAATAAAAATAAAATTCCCCAGAACCATTTTATCATCACCACCCGGTACCTTGCCGACTGGCGTGGGCGATCAGGGACCTCCACTTCCCTCAGTCCTACGTTGCAGCGATAGTGTCTGTTGTTCTTGCTGTTCCCAGCCATGTTGTTAACTTGTCCAGTATATTTTCCCTCAGTCTGCCTCTGCCTCTCTTTCCTTTAAGCTTGCCTGTTGTTACAATATTCTCCAATACTTCTTTCCGCGTTGTGTGTCCAATGAAATTTGTCTGTCGCTTTCGGATATTATTGGTCATAAACCATTTATTCATACTGTGCACTTAATACTAGGAATGTCATGAGTCTTAGGATACGGGGTGCACGTTAAGCAGTTATAATGGCGTCGGTGGCCTAGTGTTTCGGCTCTCAGACTCGCAACCGTAAGGTCGTGGGTTCGAATCCCGTCAGTGACCCGACGTTTTGTCCTTGGGAAAGGCACTTTACACAAATTTTCCTCACTTTACCCAGGTGGAAATGGGTACCCAGCTATAGACAGTGAAAGATCTTGTCAGTTTGATAGTGTTTGAGCGCGTGGAATCCGCAGCTTGCACTGTAAGCTTCCGCGGAAGCTGAGAATGTTTCAGAATATTCTCAGAGGGTCTGTTGGGGTAATAATAGTTTTAAAGCGCATAGAGCAAGCTCTTGAGCATGGATGCGCTATATAAATGCAATTATTATAATAATTATTGTTATTCGGCATCGTTCGGATGTTTACAAACTGTATAATATTATAGCTGGGACCATTCATTTCTCCTCAGTTGAGTTTATTTCATATAACAGTTGTAGTAGAGTAGATCAGATAAGATAAGAAACATCTTTATTGTCCAGATCCTGGCATATTGGTTTGGAGTTTCACCCCATACCCACATACATACACACACACTCACACACACACACACACACACACACACACACACACACACACACACACACACGCACGCACACACACACACACACACACACACACACAAACACACACAAACACACGCACACAAAACATTCACACACGCAGGCTTCAGTCATATGCATAGTATAAATTAACAGTGATATAAAAACTATTTGAGTTAAGCTAGATACACACTCAGTACTCTTATTGTAACTCAGTTGTATTCTGATGCATGCTCTAAGGTCATATGAATACTTGTAACAAGATGGTTAAGATCGAAGCATTTTGATGATGCTGAAAATTCAGATGACAAAATTGGTTGCAGACGTAGAGGAATGAGTGAGAGAGAGAGAGAGAGAGAGAGAGAGAGAGAGAGAGAGAGAGAGAGAGAGATGAACTACCTCTGAGGTAATTGTTTTAAATGTTCTATGACCAAGGAAACTCTAGTGTCAAACGTTAACAAAATGGCATATTGCCTTCACCTGTGCAAGCTGTATTTCGAAATCCACCAAGTCCGTCACATCTTGCTGGGCTGTGTCGGGGTCTGCGAACCCCAGTGTCTCGGTCACTTTGTAGATTAATGTCTGGTAGGCCATGAGCATTGTGTCATTCCTTGGGACCAGGTAGTACTTCTGACCCGGCATGCCCAAACTAGGTTGGTCCATCTGAAGAAAACCCCCCCATCCCAACAACCTTTTTAATCAGACTTCGTTCCTGACAAGGGCATCAAAATTGCTATATTCGCCTTAACAATGTTAATGGAAATTTTATTGAAGCACAGAAAGATCAGTATTTAAGTTTCTTAGATCATTCAAAGGCTTTTGATACAATTAGACGTGAAGAGCTATTTAAAACATCGGTAGAGCTAGACATAGATGGAAAAGATCTAAGAATTATCAAGACTTTGCACTGGGACCAAAACGCTATTATAAGAATCGATGGGGAATACAGTGAATATAAGAAGATAGGAAGAGGAGTGAGGAAAGGATGTGTTGCGTCACCAGACTCTTTAACATGTACAGTGAAACAATCCTCAGAAATATAGAAGAATGCTCATGTTTCAAAATGAATAGTGAAAATATTGATAACATCAGACATGCCGATTCAGACCAGATACTGTTGTAACGGAAAGTGAACGTAAAGGGGAAGTGAAGAAAACAATGAATGGTGATATCTAAAAGAGCAGTAAATTCTTTTAGTAATTTCTTAGTAAGTAAAGGTGAAAAAGATCAAATGAGTTCAACCGTTTGAATATCTACGATATAGTTATAACAACATCTTGTGACAAATGTTCCACAGAACTAACGATATCTAAAGATTGTTTCGATAAAATGAATAAAATAGAAACATCTAATGACTATCAAATTGAAAGTTCTGAAATGCTATGTTTGGTCAACCCTTCTATACGGCTGTACATGGTGGACAATCACTTAAGACAGTGAAAATAAAATAGAAGCAACAGAGGTGTGGTTTTGGAGGAAACTACTGAGACTATCTCGAAAGTCGCCTATGGAAACAGTCAGGAAAAGAAAAACGTAGTTTTTTGGGACACCTGAATAGACATAGGGGCCTTGGAAATCTTACTTTCACCGTGAAAATTGAAGACAAAAGAGGCAGGCGAAGGCCCAGAGTAACCTACTTGGAAAGCTTAAAAAGATGGACGACGGTGACACATCAGGATACTGTAGTGTTTTATTTTAAAGAGCATCAAAGTAAAGGAATGAATGGGAAACCATCATCGCCAAAGTCTGTGGCAGATTTAGCCGTTGATGATATAATGACTAGGAATCAAATAAAAAAAGTGTTTACCTTTTTACGCGCAGTGGGGAGGGGGGGGGGGGTCTTCAAGCAAAATATAATACATCATTCAAATATTTGGTGTCACTTACCGAGATATTTCTTATCAAGGAACAACGGGGGGAATTGATAAGAGTAATAATTATCATCGTCCAACATGCTGAAATGTATGCGAGTATACCATTGTAAAAATAATCCATGTTTTCAACAGTATAAAGGTATAACATTCAACTCACGTTAATCAAATTTTGATAAACAGGTCTCTTACCTTCAATATGTGTACACTCGAGTTCTTGTCATCTACTTGTGGATAGACGCCCACCAGGATGCTAAACCCTAGGTCGGTAGCGTTGAACAAGACGTCATTGAGGTCAAATGTGGCTTCGTTCCATGATGGAGAGATAAGAGGAGAGTCTCCGATGATGGTCTTGAGCCAATCCTTGAAGTGCTGGTCACCACGATTCTCCATGGTTTCTTTTAAAAAACAAAGAAGATTGAAATTCGGAAAAGCATTCTACAAGACCATAACTTTATTTTGATTATAATGATCTTGGTTTCTTGTCTGACATACACCAAATGTCAAAGTCAAAAAGTTTAAGCAGGGACCTAAGAAAAGTGTGAGAATACTTATTTCATGTAATATTTAACAACATAAGGTGTCAGTGGTAATAATACTCTGCTTTTTGAATTTTTTTCGCGTAATTTATGGACTTGTTAAAGCACAGCAAACAATAAACAAAGACATTCAAGATACCCAGAAAGTGGACGTTTTGGCTTTTTACTGTGTTAAGATTTTGTATCACATATCTTTGGCTTTTTCCTGTGCTAAGATCTTGTATCACATATTTTTGGCTTTTTACTATGTTAAGGTTATGTATCACATATTTTGCCTCCTCACTAATTCAGTGAAGATCACGCTACAGATTAGAGCAAGAATTCATACTTGTTGATATGGCGTTTCACTTGACGTAAGCTTTTTTACTTTAAGAGTTTGTTTCCCATTTTTGAAGGATTGCAATACATTGTTAATGTTAAAATAGGCATATTTCTCCCAGAAACTTACGAAGGTCACGACAGGACTGGTATAAGTTTCTGGCGCTCGTCACCGCTTTGAGGTCATCACTTGCTGGCGGTTCGTCCAAGATTCCTTAGAAAAAGACCATTGAAAAATTGTTCCTTGAAAAATACAGGGTGAGCCAAAAAAAGAAAAGAAAGAAAAACAACAAAAACAAGCCAATAAACAAAACAAAGAAAAAGAAAACCCCCCACACAAAACAACCCCTCCCCCAAAACAAAACAAAACCCAACCCCTTTACAACTTCTTTATTGTAAATGTTTTCTTCAACATTGAAGTTTCGTTTTTCAAATTTTAACACAGTATTTGGAAATCAAGAAGAATTTGGCTGATATTCACTTTAGATACTTCCACAGAATGGTTTTTGCTGTATTTGGCGCTTTAAAAAAACCAAAAATATGTTCAACATTGGCCTAATCCTTGTAGTCACCAGTTCGTATTGCCTTATTGAAAGCTACTGCAGTCTAATAAGCCTAAAGACGTTTGCAGATATTGTTTTTCCAATATTTTCTTTGCCTGCTGAGATCATGGTTAAGTTTAGTAAAGAGCAGAGAGCTTTTAGAACTGAACATTGCCTCTCCACCAACTCCCCATCCCTGACATTTCGAAAGTTCCACGCACAGTACGGAAAGAATGTTAAAGTGCCCTCACGTTCTTCTTTGGTGTCATGGGTTGAGACGTTCTGTCAGTTTGGATCTATAGCCAATCAGAACTAAAAATTCCCAAACAAAACGACCACTTCAGGTCAAACACACACCATTGGCCAGGTAACCGGTGAGCAGAATTTAGTTGTTGAGTCCTAAAAGACATCAGTCCGCAGACGATAGCTGTAGCTGGGACGTTCCTATACACCTCAACGGTCTGCATTCTCCAGGCAGATTTTAACCTACATCAGTACCATTTTCATGTTCGAGCAGCGTGTGAGGGAGAGTACTTAGATCAGAACATGGCAAGGTGTTCATAATTCCTGAATCGTCTTGAAAAACGTGAACATTTCCTCAATGGCAATTGCTTCAGTACAAAGCCCACTTTCACCTTTCAGGATGTTAGCTAAAAAATGCTGTCCATTGGGCACCCCAGCCTCCTATTGTCTATAGAAGTCACTCCATATTGAAGATGTACAGTGTGCGTGCATGTGTGTGTGTGTGTGTGTGTGTGTGTGTGTGTGTGTGTGTGTGTGTGTGTGTGTGACTCTAAGCACTCATAGTTTAGTGGGCCCTTGTGTTTGTCCACTTTTGAACATTTCAAACTACGCCTAGAAAATTAAGTGTCGAGTCCAAAGGGGGGAATGCATGCAGAGCGCTGGCTCTATTAATTACAGAATAAAAACGTTCGTTTTTTTTCTAACTCTGTAAGAGAAATGAAATATTGTTTAATGGTTACAGAGATGGAAAAACTAAACGTCGAAGAGTAAATAATTTTTTAAAAGCCAAGCAATCGTATCAAGATTTTCCTTACAAGAAGTTTTAGTGCTGATGCATTTTGCGTTAATTGGTGTTTTTCTTTATTTCGTTTCCATTTTAAGGATACGTTTCTTCTTCATGGATTTTATGCCAAACAAATTTCTGTTAAATGAATCATGTCTGTTTCAATTAAAACATTTTATAATTAAGTTTGTTGGTGATATTCCGGGGGGAAAGTTGTAAAGGATCATCCCATATTTTATGTATATAGACCCAAGGGCGAGAAGGACAAAACAAGCACCGTATATGAACCAGAAGTCAGTGACTGGGGATCTAAAGTGGTCTTTAACTTCGTTCAACATTGTGATAATTTTATGTAATATCCAAGGACAAAAAAGGTAAAGTTGTTCCAGCATCCCATTCGGACTTTGGGGATTGCCTTGTTAGTGAGACAACTTCTTGGACCTTTGGCATAATGTGGTAGGGTGGCCAGTTCCTTTTCACACTTTACTTCCCCAACTTGAAGTCAGGTACCCATTACTGCTGGGTGGGCAGGAGGTGGGG